ATAGATAGATAGATAGATAGATAGATAGATAGATAGATAGATAGATAGGAAGGATAGATAGATAATAAAATATTTACATCTTCCCATGTTCTGGCACAGAAAACCTGGATGGCTCTCTCTACAGTGGCCAGTGGACTAGTGACAGTCAGGTTCAGAAATCGGAAAGTGTAGTAATACGCTGAAAAGGCCTGGAAGATTTTAAAACAACATGTAAACATCCCAATGGGAATTTCTCACCATGTCTGCAACAGGGTGGAGATCGTAAAATGAGGCAAAACTCCACCAATGCCTCGCTTACCCACCTCCATTTTGCCCTCCCTTGCAGTCGTGAAGTCGAGGGCTATCCCTAATCACGGGGATAAATGCCCCCTAAAACTGAATTCCCCCCCCCCAGGAATTCAGAATGCGTTAGCAAAAACCGTCCTACCAGAAACTTCCCGTTGACTCTGGGCTGGTAGATTCCTTCAAAGCCGCAGGATGAGGGATCTCGGCAGCCGGAGAAGTTGAAGATGGCTTTGAATTTCTCCCGGCAAAGGCTAAAATTCCCTTTGCCCACCAGAGTGACGTTGGACGGAGAGGTGGTGGCGGGCAGAGGCTTGACGCACGGGTTGCCAGAGAGGGAGGCCGCCTGTACCTCCTCTTTGTAGCCTTTCGGGTAGCAGGGGTGAGCCACCTCAACGCTGGGGCTTCCACTCTAAAAGCAACATTCATAAATGGTCGGGCACGGAAGACGAGATCCATAACAGTAGAAGGTCCCACTAAACCTTGCGAGCAAGGAGGAGACAGCAAGGAGCCTGGGCGTGGCTTAGCTCGACTGTCATGTACTAAAACTGTTTGGTGCTGTTGTGAAACTGAAACTCCTCAGCTTGTGTTTTGCCCATGGAACTTACTTCCTAGGGCAGCAAAATGTGGAAATAATGGAGAGACTAGGGCAGGGACCAACTAATCGCCAGAACTACCGGTTTGTCCAAACCGGTCTGAACCGTCAGAATCCCACCCCTGCTTCCAAGCCACCCTCGGGGGGATTACTTACAAGAATCAACCGGATCACCCGTTGGAAAGCTTGGTTTTGGCCGTAGCAGAGGTAGCTGTGGCTATAGATGTTGTAGTCAAAGCCGTAGAGGCGAAACTGGACGGCTTCGGAGGGATCCGCGATCAGACCAGCGGGGATGAAACTGATCTGGGTGGAGGCTCCGCCGAGGTCCAGAGCTCCCAGGATATTGGCTGAGGGAGGACGGATCCAGCCTCGCTCTTTGGCAGAGTACTGCAGGGAGAAGATTAGAATGGGATAATAGAGTTGGGAGGGACCTTGTAGGTCATCTAGTCCAACCCTCCCCCTCTTAGGAGACCCTGAGCCATTTCTGACAGATGGCAGCCCAGTCTTGAAAGCTGCCAGGGTTGAAGCTCCCACAACTTCTGAATAACAGAATAATAAGAGAAGAACAGAGTTGGAAGGGACCTTATAGGTCATTTAGTCCAACCCCACACCCAAGCTGGAGACCCTACATCATTTCTGACAGATGGCAGTCCAGTCTCTTCTTGGAAGCCTCCAGGGATGAAGCTCCCTCAACATCTAAACATCTAGCTGTTCCATGGCTTGATTGTTCTCGCTGACAGAAAATTCCTCCTTATTTCTAGGTTGAATCTCTCCTTGATCGGTTTCCATCCATTGTTCCTTGTCTGGCCTTCAGGCCTGAGATTAGGGTGAGGTTCATGGTGGAAGTCAAGGTTTAAGAATCAAGTCAACGTAGGCGGTGTCTCAATTGTCTTGGTGCGGGACAGGGACAATCTCACCTCTCTTCAGCTGGGCCAGGAAGCTATGAAGAGGAGATAGCTAACCAATTGCTGCCTCTTTAAGATAACCAGGGTGAAGAGCAATTTCAAGATCTAAAGCCCATCTCATCCCAAAGACTCCCAGGGCTGGAAGGAACCTTGGAGGTCTTCTAGTCTAACCCCTCTGCCCAAAACAGGAGACTGGACAAACGGTTGTCCACTCTTTTCTTAGAAACCCCTAACTTCTGGAGGCAAGTTGTTCCACTGGCTTATTGTTCTGACCATCGCGAAATTTCTCCTTAGTTCTAGGTTGCTTCTCTCCTTGGGTATTTTGACTTTGGCTTCAATGACCCGGAATCCAGCCCTACCTGGGTGAAAGAATTCAGCAGGTAGTTGATGGTGATCCAGCCAAAGGCCCCTTCTTCCTTCCCGCTGATAATTCGAGCGCCTTGGAAACTCACGGGGTATTTCCGGATCGTTTGGGAGACGGCCTCCAAGATCTGCGTGGCTGCCAACTCGTTCTGCATCCTGTCGAATCATTCACACAGAAAAGGCGTGAGTTTTTGCCTTCATGAGGGCTAGAAACGACTTGCTTCCAGCCATCATTGGGACCAGGAAGTCATTAGGGTGCAAACCCAGCCAGTTCTGCTCGCCTGAATAAACCACGATTAAACAAAGCTGACCATGTTTGTGTCCTTCATTTATTTTTTATTTATAATTAACATTTATTGGTTGCCTGTGTACCTGAGCAGCCTCATGCCTGCCGTGGCTCCCAAATAGACTGGAGATTCTTGCTGTCTGTGTGGGGGGATAACTCCCATGGCTGCGTTCAGACAATCCTGCAGAGAAGCCCCAGCCTTTGAAGGGTTCTTGGCATAGCTGGAAATTCCTGGCCCTGCAATGATGAAAAACAAGGTGAGAAAAATTCAGTTTCTGGTGTTCCAGACCTTGAGCAGTTCTCATCCAACTGTCAGGAAATTTCTCCCTAGTTCTAGGTTGCTTCTCTTAGTTTCCGTCCATTGTTTCTTGTCTTAACTTTGGTCCTTTAAAGGTAGCACAGTGCCCTGGGAGCAAGGCCGTCTTAGGGACATTATGGGAGTGAAATCAGTAGCTCCAGCCTGCTTGGTCTCTAAAGTGGCTTGCTTTTTTTGCAGACATTTCATTAGCAAACTAGGTAATTTCATCCATGCCAGAAGGGAGGAGGAGGAGGAGGAGGAGGAGGATTGTAGAGTCCTTGGTGCTCTCTGAGCTTGGTTGTTTTCTTGCAGACGTTTCATTACCCAGCTAGGTAATATCATCAGTGCTCGATAGGAGGAGGAGGAAGTAATCATCCTTGGTGCTCTCTAAGTTTGCTTGGTTATTTTGCAGACATTTCATTACCCAACTAGGTAACATCATCAGTGCTACTCTGATGATACTGCCTAGTTTGGTAATGTATATGCTTTGCTATTGAATACTCTGTCTCGCCATCCACAGACACCATCATATGTCTCAGAATAATAATAATAATAATAAACCAACTGACCTTTGACATGGCAGGAGAACATCTGGCTAACCATGCCCGTATTGTTTTCCTTCTCCTCTGGCCACTGGTACACAAAGAGGGACGTGTGAGACGAACCTGCATCAAACACCAAGCCATACTGGAAAAGATTCATTCAGAAATAAAATAGCCAGATATGAGAACGTCCTGTCATGTTCTCTGCAAATAACAGCCAAAGCTAAGGTTTTTTCTGAACTTGGAAATTTGCTCTAGCTATTATTACAGAGGTCTAGGTTGTAGTTGTACAATATACTTTAGAACAGAAAAATGAAGGTATAACGTGGTTATGGAAAAGCCATTTCTGGCGTTCAGTGAATTAATTCATTAGTGGATTTAAACGAAAAGGAACTAACTTTTGTTCAGTTCCACATTGCAGTGAAAAAGGAGAGATTACATCCCGCAGGAAGCTTTTTTTTTAAAAAAAAAAAATGCAATTCAAACTTATAGCCTGAATGTGCTTCATTGGAGTATCTGATTTATGGCACACTCAGGACGGAGCAGGGAAACAGGGTCACAGGGGACTGTAAATTATGTATGCCAGAGTTCGCTTCCTCCAGGTTAATGCTGGACATGTTGCTCCTAATAAATTTTTGGTTTCTTTTAAAGCTTGACTGGAGTCTCATGATTAAATTAGGGCAATTGCCGGAATCCTGACACCCTGATTTGCCACTTTCACCACATTGTCCCCATATTGCTTTGCACACGCTCACCTTGTCCTTAGAAGGTTGTGTAGTGTTGTGGATTCTCACCAAGCTAAGGATCAGGGCAGTGAGAGAAAAAATGCCCAAAAGAATCAGACTTCCACGGAGAGACCTGCTGTTCCACTTGGAGCCCATTTCTGAGAAGACAAAAAGCGGCAAGGTGTTGGGAGTTCCCAATTCAAACAGTCATGAAGATCATCATCTAGTCAGGTTCCTTCTGATCTTGGAAATTAGGTGGGTGATGGGTGTTGAGGTAATTCCCCGTTAGGAGAATGAGTGCACACAGGGAGACGTAGTGAGAGTAATCTTGAATAGCACACACACAGCACACAGTTACACTGTATAGTAAAATGTAGGTTTTACTTCCAGTAAACGGTTAAGCAAAGTCCAACAAACAGTCCAAGTCATACACGGTTATAGCAGTCAGTTTTCAGTCCAGGGATAATCCAAATAACAAAGTCCAGTATCATACACAGTTCAGTAACAGACTTACAGCAATCCAAGAAGAACGACAATCAGCAACAGTCAATAGGAAAAAAAAAACGCAAACCAACCAACATCAAACATCAGAACATCTAACAACAACAGAACAAACAACCCAGGTTTCTGGCTCCGTGTTATGGCCGTTTGAGGAACCACACCCAATTACAATTTCAGCATTCTCTTAAAGAGATAGTATTAAATGTCCATCCTGATTTATATATTTCCAACCCAACTGTTAGGTGACTTACATTCCTAACAATGGGTCACGTTGGTGATGGTATGGATCCTGGAGAACATCTTCCAGAAATCCAGATATAATCATCATCTTCCTCCTCCTCTTCCTCCTCCCTCCTCCTCTTTCTGAGATCTCCTGCCTGGCATTTGGACATCCTACTTCATGGGCCACAGGTCTGTGTTGCCAGGTTCTCCGACTCAAATCCAGGAAGGGAGAAGGAAGGAGGGACGTTCCCTTCCCGGTCTCGGTTTTGGATTTGATGGCAATTGCATTTCAAATCAATTGAGGTGGCCGTGGCTTCCTTCTAACCACATATTTCTTTTTGTCGTAGGCACGCCAACTAGAAACACAGTTTTGACCACCTGCGAGGCTGCAAGCAGCATCTTTGTAGGTCATCAACTTGCAGGGGGGACGACCTGCAAAGCTCCTTCCTTTCTTCCCAGCTTCCGAGAACAATGCAAGACTTTCAGAGAGCCGGGATGCCTGGAGAGCTTAGCTCAAGGAAGGATTAACCTCTTGCTCTCAGCACCTGCGTTCATTTCCTGGGGTGGAAAAATCCGATTTGGGCTGCAAATTTGCAGCACGGAGAACACTGCACAATTAGGCTGAGTGTAGTGATCGTTGCTTCAAGGAAATGTATGTGTGGGTTTTTTTTTTAACGTCTATGATCTGCTTTTGAGGTTTGGGGCTCAGGCGAAACTCATCTGATAAAGCCTGTGAATTAGAACAAGTTCCGGTCTGGTTGCAAAACAGTTTGTAAAAATAAATAAATAGATTCTTCTGGAGAGAACTGCATCCCCTCCCACTTGTGTTGAGTCCCATTCTGTGTGATTTTAAAGCTAAGGTGTCATCTTTAACTGAGAAAGTTCTATGTATTCTTCTGTATAAGGGAAGAAGGAGGAGGAGGAGGAGGAGGAAGAGGGGGAAGAAGGGGGATGAAGAGGAAGAAAAAGAAGAAGACAAAGAAAAAAGAAGAAAGGTTATGGATACTTAGATGTTGGGCTGACTAGCAACCAAGATATAATCTATTTCATTTGCATCAAGTTGGACGGAAAGAAAAAAGTCAGAGAAAGTCACCAAGGACATTAGCTTCCCCTTTTGATCTCGTCTGTTGTTTAGACAGCGTGCGTCTATCTCTATATATAGAAACAGGGATAATCCAATGAGTTGATTGAATCGGTGGCCTTCAGCCAAGGAACCAACCTTGTACCAACAGAGTTTCCACATTCCAAAGAGCTGTAAAAAGATGGGCAAGGGGGCACCCAAGCCCGCTGACGACAGCCACACCTACCCCGCACAAACTGCGGCGATGAGTCACGATCGTGGGGCCAACAAGCAAGGTCACTCCGGAATATGCCGCCTCCAAGGCCCGGGGCTAACCTTTAAATCATGCAAGGTGCATGGATGCAAAAACCCCATACTTGGCCTTGAAATCACTTTTCCCCCCCTTTCCCAAATCTGACTTGGAGGGCGGAAGGTGGGGAGTTTACCTCCATGGATGTGCTGTTAACCCTCTTGTCTAAGTTGTGGAGCCCCTGTGACAATTGTGTGAGAATGTGTGCGCCTTTGAGTCAACGTGGACTCCAGGTGACTGCCTCATCTAATCCCTGAAGTTTTCTTGACAATATAATTTGGGCCTGTTTTGCTCTTTTTTCACAGAATTACACAGTTGGAAAGGATCTCAGAGGTCTTCTTGTCTAACTCCCAGCCCAAGATCCTTTAGCATTCTGGACAAATGGTTGTCCAAGCTCTTCTTAAAATCCTCCAGTGATGGATCCACCCACAACTTCTAGAGGGAAGCTGTTCCACTGGTTGATTGTTCTCACTGTCAGGAAATCTATCCTTAGTTCTAGGTTGCTTCTCTCCTTGACAAGTTTCCATCTGTTACTTTTCGTCCTGCCCTCTGGTGCTTTGGAGAATAGCTTGACTGCCTTCTTCTTCATGGCAGCCCCTCAAATATTGGAAGACTAATCCCTACTCTTTTAAGGCTGAGACAGAGAGGGACTGGCCCAAAGGCTTTGTGTCCAAGGTCGGACCAGGACTCATAATCTCTTCGTTCCTAAACTGGGGCTTTTCACTGCTACGTCAAATTGTGTCTCTGGGACTGTTTTACAACATATAAGAACAGGGAGATAGTTTCTATTTTCATTTTTCTTTTTCTTTTTGACTCCTGACCACCACTGAAAAGATTGGACACAAGTTTGTGCAGAATGGGACAGGCTTTCCTGCTTGAGTGGGGCAGGTTGGACTAGAAGACCTCCCAGAACCCTTCCAGCTGTAGAATTCATTGTTCTAAACACCTTGGGGAAGTCAACATTTGCAGCGGGTCAGAATCTCAGGGCAGCAAACCAGAAAAACCACCCCTTTTAAATACCTTAAGCGCCACTTGAGGTCTGCAGTTTTTTTTTCCAAACCCATCAAGAGATGATTATCAGTGTAGCTTTCAAAAGCTTAGACTCCACTCTCTTTTGTTTCACCTGGAACAAAGGGATCTTTAAAAAAAAAAAATCCAGGAAACAAATTGGTACAATAGCCCACACAAAGAGACCGAGAAATTTTGTGGGCAGCTTAAGCCCAGAGCCTAAAATTACTTAATGACACCCTTGGAAAGCATATTTTTAATTCTGCCCTCTCACTTGAGAAGCTAAATTAACCTTATACACCACTCCTTCTTTGAAAGTGGTTTCTAAAGGCCGGAAGTATTGAGGGGAGGAATACTATTATTAAGAAACAAGGCTTTTTATGTAGCAGGTTGATTTGGACGGGCTTGAAAGGATGCCTGTATCTTGATTTCAAAATTCCTTGCACAACAAAAGGAATGTTGTACCAAAGAAAAGGAAGACATGCCGACAACATGTTGGGATACCAACATTTTATTTTTCGGATTGCCATCTCTCTTGATGGGTAAAGATTTCAGCATCCAACTTTCCGCAGACATAATAATTCAATCGTAACATTTCCTGGGTTGCAAGATCACCGCAGATGGGGACTGCCGCCAAGAAATCAAAAGACGTTTGCTCCTGGGGAGGAAAGCTGTGTGGCAAATCTAGACAACATACCAAAAAGCAGAGACATCCCGCTGCCAACAAAAGGGCATATAGTCAAGGCTGTGGTTTTCCCAGTGGCAATGCGTGGCTGGGAAAGTTGGACCCTAAGGAAGGCTGAGCGCCAAAGAATGGAGGCCTTTGAACTCTGCGGCCGGAGGAGAAGGCTCCTGCGAGGCCCTTGGACAGCAAGGCCATCCAACCGGTCAGTCCTAGAGGAGATCCACCCTGGCTGCTCTTTAGAAGGCCAGATCCTGAAGAGGAAACTCAAAGACTTTGGCCACCTCATGAGAAGGAAGAAAGGACTTGCTGGAGAAGAGCGGACTGATGGAATGTCCAACATTTCCATCGCTAAGTGGGACAAAATGAGTTTTGCCCCCATTTCCCCCTGCTTTCTTGTCCCAGCTAAGTGAATCCCTGAATTTGTTAAGCTAATAATGTGGTTGTTAAACGATTCTGGCTTCCCTCTTGACATTTGGCTTGTCGGAAGGTTCGCAAAAGGGGATCGTGGTGACTCACAGCAACCGTCATAAATACGAGTCAGTTGTCAAGCACTCAAATGTTGATCACGCGATCATGAGGATTCTGCAATGGTCGTAAAATGTGAAAATAAGTACACTTTTCCCCAGTGCCGTCATAACTTTGAACAGTCACTAAATGAATGCTGTAAACTGAGGGCTGCCATCTGAGGTTGGTTGCGTTGGACAATGGTCAAGAACTAATGATGTTTCAACAGCTACTTGCCTTCCGGCTTTGTGTGCAAAATAGTTAATGTTTCAACTTGAATATATATATATATATATTTATTCAAAGTTTTATATCCTGTGCACAGAAATAGTTTTCAGCATTTTAATCCTTATTTCCTGCACTTTTAACAAGCTTCCCACAGCTTGCACCGGTGACGTAAAACAGGCACTTGATTTTTAAATCCCCTTATCTGCTCGGCACTCATTATTTTTTTTAATTGGCTCGTGTTTCTTTTCTCACCATTTAATAATTAACCTCTCACCCAAAGTGAGTCCTTTCTTCATTCCTAAATGGTATGAGATAGTTGAAGAAAAGTTTTTTAAAAAAAAGATCTTGGAGATGAACTTAGCTGAGGGACGGGCAGGATCTTCACCATTTCAAGACTCACCGCTGGTGACTTTCTACCGCTGTACCAGAGAGAGTATCTTAACTTACTGGCCCTGTGTAAGGTTTGCCACTTGCAGAGGGGCAGATAGGAAAGCACTCCAGAGGGTTAACGTCGTTGTTTAGAGGATCGTGAGCTGCCCTCTCCCCTTTTTGGAAGAGCTTTATAGCTCCTGTTGCCTTAAGAAAGGTCAAAACATCCTCAAAGATCCATCTCATCCTGGGAACCCCTGTTTTTGAACTATTACCATCAGGCAGCCGGTACAGAATAATAAAAGCAAGGACAAATAGGCTGAAAAACAGCTTCTATCCCAGGGCAGTAACTCTATTGAATTCCACTATATAGTGCAATATTAATGCAATATTCGGGGTTTTCAATTCAATTGCATAAAATGTGAAGGATGTGTGTTTGTGTTTTATTTTTATAGTTATAATGCACACTGAAGATGGCATTAAATTTCATTGTACGAGGTGCAATGACAATAAACTAAACTAAACTAAACCATAAGATGATCAGAATTGCTAACAGATCAAAGGAATCCAGTAATAGGGCCGGAAGGGGGAAAAAAGCATAAGAGATCGATACCTTTTATATAATCTACTTTTGCTTTCAAGTTAAGGCTGTTTGTTTAAACCGAATGGGAAAATCTGAGGGTGAACAGAACTTTGTCACCAACGTTAGTTAATTTTTAATATGTCATTTTTGAAGGCAACTTCAAGCAGGCCAGAGCAATAAAGATTCCGTCTTCAATTTAATCCATAATATCTCCACCAAAACAAAGACTGTGTCAACTGACAACCCAAGAGAAGTTGGAAGGGACCTTGGGCATCTTCTAGTCCAACCCCTGGTTAAGCAGAAGACCCTATAGTACCACTGCAGATAAATGAATGTCCATGGTCTTTTTAAAAGCCTCCAGTGTTGGAGCATTCACAATTTCTGGAGGCAAGTGGTTCCACTGGTTAATTGTTCTTATTGTCAGGAAATTTCTCCTTAATTCTAGGTTGCTTCTCTCCTTGGTTAATTTCCATCCATTGCTTCTTGTCCTTCCCTCTGGGGCTTTGGAGAATAGCTTGATACCCTCATCTTTGTAGGAGCCTCCTAGATATTGGAAGACAGCTATCATGTCTCGCCTAGTCCTTCTTTTCACTAGACTAGACATCCCCAGTTCCTGCAACCGTTCTTCATATGTTTTAGCCTCAAGTCCCCTGATTACATTTGTTGCTCTTCTCTGTACTTTTTTTAGAGTCTCAACATCTTTTTTTTTAATAATATAGCGACCAAAACTGAATATAACATTCCAAGTGTGGTCCAACCAGATCTAGCAGATTGGGCTGCAGATCCCATCACCCTAAGGCGATCCAGAAGATTCCCTGGTCTATAGGATCGCCTCCCTTCACAGACCAGAAAGGGCCCAACCCTGTTAGATTGTGATAAACCCCTCGCCACGTTCCATGCCTTGGGGTGCCGAAGGTGTTAATGGCCATAGTTGGCCAAGTATCTTGGCTCTCTCTATTTAAGGTGGACGTTTTTTATGGGTTTTTAATAATTGTTTTAAAATGCTTTCGGTGTCTTAATTGTAATATTTATTTTGAATTGTAAGCCATGTGGAGTCCTTGAATGAGACAGGCGGAAGTAAAAAAAATCGAATAGATAAATAAATAAATAAAGGAAGAGTTGTCATCTCCCTGTGGTCCTTATCACTCAAATACATCATGCGGCGTTCTAACTTTCTATTCACAAGCCTAAGGCGGAGGTTTGGGGGAAGAGGTACTTCTGTAAAATATAAAATGTTGCAAATAGTAGAGGAGGAGGAGGAGGAGGAGGAGGAGGAGGAAGAAGAAGAAGAAGAAGAAGAAGAAGAAGAAGAAGAAGAAGAAGAAGAACTAGGAAGAGGAAGGAGGAGGAGGAGGACGACAACAACATGTACCTAAAGAGTACTAGAATATCTAAAAGAAAGGAAAAACCAGAAGAAACAGAAGAAGAAAGACAAGCTCCAGGTGTACCCCATTTTTCCCCCAAAAGAAGGAGAAGAAGACTTGTCCTCACTTACCTCCAGGAGGCAGAAGGTAGGTCTTCTCAGGAACCGGGGCAGGATAGCACCTGGAAGAAGGGAGCAGCGAGATTACACTCTGGCTGATTCTGTGCAAAGCTTGCTTGTGGACGGAGATTAAGGCGGCTGGGTCAACCCCTCGTGTTCCCCCTCCCTCCCTCCCTTCCTAGCCTCAGAGCTTAGGCAACACCCCTCCCCATACACACACACACACACACACTCCACACACGCACCTACACAACACTGGAGCACATCCTGCTCACGGGTTTTGTTTACCAGTTGGCAAGGGCTGTCGCGTTCCCTTTTTTTCCAGCAAAGCGCATCGGATTGCAACAGTTTCTCCACCGAAATGCTTGCTTGCCGAGTTCTCCAGCAGTCCAGGTGGACGTGCACCTGTCATAGCAGGAGGGGGGAGATTTGAGAGAGTGGAAACAGCCCAGTCCTGCCATTTGAGGCCCCCCCAGAGCCATGGCTTCCTGGCTGAACATAGGTTGTGGACCAAAAAAAAGAAAAGAAAAAGAAAGTTAAAAATTCATCTTCGATCTGGCTTGGGGGAAAATGAGAAATCCACTACAAAGCTCTGGAGAGTTTGTTGGTCTGTAAACAACAGCAGGCTCTGGAGATTTCAGCCTGCGTCAACTTTATTTCAAGTTCAGGAGCATGGTGGAAAAGGTGTCTTTTTTTAAAAAAAAATCCAACTTGGGAGCTGATGCCTAGAGAAGGCATTGGGAAGCTGCTACTTCAGATGAGAGAAAGATAGGTGGTTAGGTAGACAGACCGACAGGATAATAGAATAGATAGTAGGTAGATTGATGAGAGAGAGGGTGGATATGATAGAATGGATGGATAAATCAATAATAGATGGATAGGTAGGTAGGTAGGTAGAGGATGTTTGATAGTAGATAGGTAGGTAGATAGGTAGAGAGAGAGAGATAGAGAGAAGATAGATAGATAGATAGATAGATAGATAGATAGATAGATAGATAGACAGATAGATAGATAGATGATAGATAGATAGATAGATACAGATAAGGTAATGATAGCTAGGTAGGTGGATGGATGGATAGAGATAGATATAGATAATTAAACAGATAAGAATAGAATAGAGTTGGAAGGGACCTTGGAGGATGGATGGATGGATAGATAGAGAGAGAGAGAAAGACAGACAGATGGTCAGTTTATAGATGATATAATAGATAACCTTAATTCCTTAACAGGTTAACAGACCTTGAAGGGACCCTGTAGGTCATCTAGTCCAACCTCCCACCCAAGCAGGAGACCCTATACCAATTCTATACACTGTACAGTAGATAGGTAGGTAGGTTAATGATAAATTGATGACAGATGAGAGAGACAGAAGGTTAGAGATTCCTCTAGTTTAAGAGTCCTGAGTTGGGTTTTTTTTTCCACCCCCTTTCAATTACGTGACCAACATTTATTTCATTTGGTGAATTCCTTTCGGATCCTTAGCAGAACGGGAACTCGTTGCAATGTTCAAAACCAACCCACAAAGGCAGTCAAGCACATATACGCAGCCATATAGAAGCCGGAGTGGGGGAAGAATACACCTCTCTGTCTTCGACATTGGGTCATTTTCTGTTTCCGCCATGCAGGAGGCACAGCATGAGCTAAAGAGCAGGGCACACTTTACAGTAAAGCGAACTCCTGTGCTCAGAAGCGGCCCTTCCCGTATGACATGTTTCAAAACAGTCCAGATGAAATGCAGACCTGCGTGATCGAAGGTTTCCCTCCTTTCTAGGATGTGTGCCATTTGGATTTTTTTATTTTTCTTAGTATACTATACCTAAGAGACCTTGTGGACAGGGGGTTGGACTAGAAGACCTCTAAGGTCCCTTTCCTGGGATTCTATGACAGAGAGAATAACCTTTCAGTCCAAAACGACCTTCCCCAAAAACTCCTTTTCTTTACAACTTTTTTCCTTCCGGCCCTGGTTCCAGAACACCCCTGACTTAATTCTTCAGATTCAAGAAGAAATCCATGCTTGTTCCACCTTTTGCCTAAAATTCACAGAAGCTGAACTTTGCCCCGAGGGGGAGAACCATTCAGGGGAGGCATAAAAATGTCAAATCTCAAGCGTGCCTTATCTTTGATTTCTTATACGGCCAGCAGTTGCTCCAACCTTAAAATTAGGAACTGGGTTATACCAATCTTTCTTGGAGCTTGGAAGGATGAATCTCACTTGAGCAAGTTACCTGAATTATCCAGATGGGAAGGGTAAGGCTAAGTCAAATCCATTTGACTAGTGACTTAATCCAGTTCTTGGAGATGCCTTTTTGGATCTGCTTATAATAAAACTAGCTCGATACCCATGCTTCGCTACGAAACAATGTGGTCGGGTTTAGTTTTTGGGCAGGAAAATAATTGCGGGGGGGAATTCTGCCTCTGCCTATCAGCATCCATCGGTATTCATCTGACTAGCGTCCTATCAGTGTGTGAGAGAGAGTTGAGGGCTGTTTGGAAAGTGAAAGAGCAGTTGCTGTGTGAGCAAGGAGACAGCAAGGAGCCTGGGCACGGCTTAGCTCAACTGTTCTGTACTAAAGCTGCTGGGTGCTGTGAAACTAAAACTGAAACTCAGGTTCTCTCTCTCCTAGGTCAGTTTCGATTCATTGCTTCTTGTCCTGCCTCTCAGGGGCTTTGGAGAATAGCTTGACCCCCCCCTCCTCCTCCTCCTCTCTGTGGCAGCCCCTGAGATATTGGAAGACTGCTATCATGTTCACCCCAGTTCTTCTCTTCCTTAGGCTAGACATAAGGGGTCCCTTCAATCGTTCAACCTATGGTTTAGCCTTCCGGCCCTTTTATCGTCTTTGTTGGTGACTTCCGATCTTATGGAGATGTGAGTTTAATCCTTTAATAACACCCAAGGGATCTTCAAAGGGTGGTTGCTGAGGACCTGTTTTACAGGACGTTGTTGAATTTGGCCAAGGAAAGAGAATAAACCAGGAAAGTTAATGAACTTTCGACTGTGCTTGATTACACAAAGCCCTACTTGCAGATGGAGGATCAATGGGAGTTTTGTTCCACGCCTGTTAAGAAGGTGCTGCATCTGTTGTAAGCGTGGGGTCCTTGGTGGCCTCAGAGCTTGGTGGTTTTCCTACAGACGTTTCTTCACCCAGCTAGGTAACATCATCTGTGCTAGAAGGGGCAGGACTTTCTGGAGAGGAGGAGGAAGAGGAGGAAGAGGATATGGGGTCCTTAATGCTCTCTGTGTTTGGTGGTTTTCTTGCAGACATTTCATTATCCAACGAGGTAACATCACCAGTGCTAGTGAGCGTGGGATTTGCTTGCTGCTTATAAAAGCGGGGATTTGCACCTGGCAAACCATCAGGCAGAAAACAACACCCTAACCAAAGAACTACAAAGGAAGAAGAAGAAGAAAAAGAAACCCACTCCAATCACCCAAACAGGAAGCAAACCCACACACTTGCTAAGACTGATGATGTTACGTAGCTGGGGAATGAAACATCTGCGGGGAAGATTGCATGCAAGCAAAACGACATTTGGTTGGGTGGTTTGCGTGGGTGGGTGGAAATAATTCCTAAATGCCGTTTTTTAATTTCTTGCCTAGATGGCCACGGACTCTTATAAGCCTCCATCATCGCGCTGATTCCCATGGCCACCCCGAGCCAGGAATGTTGGCTTGAGGAGCTGGAAGCTTTCAAAAAGAGGTTGGACTGCCATCTGTCAGAAACGGTGTCAGTAGGGCCTCCTGCTTGGGCCAGGGTGGGGTTGGACTAAATGACCTACAAGGTCCCTTCCAACTCTGATGAATCTACAACCTGTAACTCTGCAACCGGGTGGACAGACACACAGACGCACCAAGGCATTTTCTCCCGAAAGGCAAAACTTCGTCAGACAGAGTGCTTTTCATGCCACGTCATCCTGCCAACGGCGCTTGTGGGATTCTTTTTAAAACTTGGCACCTGGGGACTCCTGTCGCTTCAGTGAATTCACATAAAAGGTGTCAAGAATCGCCCGATAAGAGGGCGGGGAAGAAAAAACGGCTTCTGTCTGACTCTTCCTGATAAGGCGATAAGAGGGTGGAGAAGGAATAAAAAGAAAGAAAGTTATGCCTGATTCTTCCCGATAGCCAAAAGGAGGTGGAGAACGAAACCACTGCTGCCTTTTCCTGGTACTCTTCTGTCCGCTTGGTGCATTTTTATTATTTTATTTTTGCAAGCTTCCTCGTTGTCGTTTCAGAAAGCATGTTTGACTCTTGCAGGAAATGGATCCTTATTTCCAACCTCTTTGACTGAACAATGCTTCATGGAGTGACCGTTCAAAATTGACGATGGCTTTCACACTTAATGACCGTTGCAACATGCACACACGGTTGGTTACGTGACCAAAACTCAGAGGCTTGGCAACAGGTTCGTATTTACGACGGTTGCAAGGGTGGCGCAATTCGTAGCCCAGGGCTGAACTGTGGCGTCCTTGGTGCTCTCTCAGCTTGGTGGTTTTCTCACAGATGTTTCATGACCCAACTAGGAACATCATCAATGGTAGAAGGGAGTGCGGTTTGCTCCCTGTTTATATACAGTACATGCAAACCCCACTTGCTTTTAGCACTGATGATGTTACCTAGTTGGGTCATGAAATGTCTCCAAGAAAACTACCAAGATCAGAGAGCATCAAGGGCCCCACAGTCTTTTTCCTCCACCTCCTCCTCTTCCTCCTCTGCCTCCTCCTCCTCCTCCTTTTTTTTTACAACTCCCCTCCCTTCTTGCACTGATGATGTTACCTAGTTGGGTCATGAAATGTCTCCAAGAAAACTACTAAGATCAGAGAGCACCAAGGGCCCCACAGTCTTTTTCCTCCTCCTCCTCCTCCTCCTCCTCCTCCTCCTCCTCCTCCTCCTCCTCCTCTCCATAAATCTTTCTATCATATAATCAGGGGAGACAAACATTTCTCTACAAATGCGGGCCAACCTAGAGATAACAAGGAAATAGAAGATGCTACTTTACTCCAAATTGTCAAAAGGAAAAGTTCTTTATGGTTCTCCTTCCTATGGAAAAGGGACGACTGATGGATGCAAAATGCAGCATTTCTCCCTATTTGATGAGACATCTCCAGAGATTCTCCATCCTCCACCCGGCCACGGCTGTCCCAAAAATGCTTTTCCAAAAGGCAACTGGACTTCGTTTGTTTGTTTTCCCCCTTGAAAACGTTTCGCTTCTCATCCAAGAAATTCAGTTCTTCAGTTCTTGGATGAGAAGCAAAACGTTTTCAAAGGAAAACAACAACAACCACCCCAAAAATGTCCA